GCAATGAAAGTGAATTCTTTCTTTATATCTACATCGGTAGATTTTTCTTCAAGACTCATACGTTTGCTGAGCATACCTTATGGCAGACTAATGTACCATTCGTACGGTAGTACGAAGCCTCTCCTTTTTGGCACGCTATCATCTTGCATGTTTGACCACCGTCTTTTACTGTACATTCCAATGATTCAGGTAGCATACAGGCGAAACCTTTGCTCTGTGCAGCTTCCTGCAAATTAATAAATGTAGATTAGAAACATGGAATCAAACCAGAGAATTATTTTCATGTCTGTCTGGTAATTTTATGCCATACCAAGCCATTGCAATCCATTTCAACAGTTGAATTGTCACAATCGTTTACTTTGAAAAAAATGCATGTGTCATTTGCCCTGAACTAAAATTTAATAGAATGATTGTATTTCAAACACTAGACTCACTCTTCTTCCTTTCTGAGCATTATATACCCTTCAACTCCTTGCTTTTTTGTCTCGTCTAAAATGTAAACTTAAGCAGCGTAGAGCTAGCTATTAGAAGTAGATTTAGCACTTCTCAACATGAGCAGTTCCTCCTCATCTGATAGCATTGAGAGCTCGCCTCCTCGCGATCTGCAGATTCTATCTGCCTCTTCGTAGGAGTATGAACCAAATGTTAGCTGAAAATAGCTTTGCAGCGGACCGTATCTATTCATATCATGCTGAATTAGGCATAAAATGCAATTTTGAAAAGAGTTTATTACGTTGTGGCAACGTATGCTTCCATCCTTGGTGAAATTCAAATAGCCTTGGGGACATGGTAATTGAGAACCGTCACTTTCTTCACATGAAGTACCTAAACGCATCCACTTTGCTAAATAGACATATACCAACACAAGTGGCCTACATAGAAGCTAAAATAATTGTAGCATTCTGACAAAGCTCAGGTATTAAATGGATTAATTATCCAATTTGATGAAACAAAGCAGGTTTATGCAAACATCTCACTATAAGTTATCTGATTTCATCTGCGAGAGCGAGCTTAAAGCCTTGGATCACTTTATGACATCAAGTGCAATAGAAGATTTTCAGTCATCTTGCAGGGTCACACGTGAATGCGAAGTTACAAATAACAGTATCAAAAATTAATTTTCAATCAGTTAAAATATCGAATTTGCATAATCGCATGTACCATGTTTCGCTTTAGTGCTACTGTTTGACGATCTCCAAAGCCTCGAAGAATTTTATGGAGACTTCTGCTCAGTTTGATAAGATTCTCTTCCTAACAGTGACATGTGAAATGTGGAGACGATTAGTAATAATTCTATAGCTGAATTATGTCGATATCCTACTTAGAAACTGGGTTTCAGAGTAAGGTTTGATATCTTTGTCCTTACATTTAACGGCGATAATGCTTTCATCAAACCCTTTAAAGTTCCGAAAATCTTTTATATATATCTCATACCTAATAA